CCTTAGTGACCATGACCGGGACCGGGCTGCTGGCCGACGCACCCACCTTGCGCTCGCTCACCTGGAGGTGCTCCCGGGGCGGCAGGCCGTGGCCTCGTGCGGGTGCTGAGCGAGCTGCTCCTCTCCGTCTACCTCTCGTTACGCCCTGCAAGGACGCCCTCCTTGCTGTTCCTCCGCGGCGCCAAAGGGCTGCACGAAGTCTTCCTTCAGCACCGCGACTTCAACCCGGGCGACGCGGCAACGACGGCGACGACGACGACGTCGAGGACCTGGTCCCTGTCAGTCCTAGGTGGCAGGCTGCGCGCGGCGCGCTGCTCTGGTCCGGAGGCCCAGCGCCTTTGCGGGCGAAAAGTCGTAAAGTCCAGGAGCAGCGCGTCGGTCATAAGGGCACCTCCACCGACGTCGTCGCGTCGCCCGTATTCTTCTGCATTTTAGCTTTACCGGAATGCTTTACTAACATCAAGTTATGTCAGTGTCAAGATTTGTTGTCAATTTTGCATCATATGACCTCTAGAAGCCAGGGAGTCATGCCCCCCCCCCCCCTCTCCTCAGTGCTAGAACTCTAGCGGCCAGGAGTCCTGTCCTGTAGGGATCCCAATGTCTTCCTCAGGTGTTGTTGTTTGCCCCGCCTCGGCCTCCTCGCCAGCATCCCGTCCAGTGCGCGGGGTTTTAGATCTTACCGTCACACGCGTGACGACTCAGTCGTGGCCCTAGGAAGATTGTGTTGCCTGTGCCTGCCGCTACACCACTGCGTTCTTCGAATAATGATATTTAATAAGTATAGGGGCCAGCGAAGCGCGTGCTTGTGCGGGGCATGCCGTCCAAGCGGCAAGACGTCCCACGCCCCTCGATCCTTAGCCGTGCGGCGCGGGGCCTCGGACCTTTGCCCCACGTCCCTGTTTGTAGCTACAAGAGTTTATAGTTGCAACCGAAAGTACCAAATGTGCCGATGGGGACCGAGAGGTCGGAGCCGCTCGCCAGCTGCCCCGCGCTGCCCGGTTGGCGGCCTGCGCGGGTCGCTGCGCAAGGTGACGAAGTCGTACAGGGCGATTCAGAGAAGACGCAGGTGCGGGCGGGTTTGCCTACTCGCTCTGCCTGTAAGGCGCCATGGCCCATTAGGCAGGCAAGCCCGCTCCCTCGCGCCTGCGTCTTCTCTGAATCACCCGGTACGTGATGCGCATGGCGCGGGGCAGCCGAGTGTGGGTAAGGTCAGCCTATGCAGGCCGGGCACCGACAGCCCCGCGGACGCTAGCGGGGACCTAGTCGCGGCTCTGGCTTCGGCCGGCCGGTCCCAAGTGGAGTCGCTGCTGGTCATGTACTAGACGGTCCTGACGAGCTCACATCGACGTCGCCGGCGAACAGCTCCTTTTCCTTTTCGTGTTGGTGCTCGGCGTCGTAGAGGAGCCCGGAGGGAAGGGAAGTTACGTTACGTTATCTCTGGAGAAGCCTGGCCGCCCGCGCGCGGCCGACCTGTACTTGGGCCTGGTGTAGATGATGAGCTCCAGCAGTGGGAGAGACTCACAGGTAGCCAAAGCCTCCAGCCCGGGGAGGTTGGAGTACGTCAACTCGTGGAGGTTGGGCAGGTCGTCCACCAGGGGCACGACGGAGGTCAGGCCCGTGTCGGAACAAGAGCGCTGCTCCGAGCCCCGCCCAACGCCCATCCCACAAACGCTCAGGCTGTCCTGCTGCTCCATGAGCACCTGGGGGCCGCGGATGCGAGGACTGTTCCATACCGGGTTCTTATGAGTTGAAACGGCTGTGCCCGGGCCAAGGCCAAGGCTTGAACGGCGAGGACCCGAACGAGGGCATGTGCCGCGCTGGCGGCACCTGCGTCAACTTTTTTAGCTTTAGAAAGGATTTATGACTGCTTGTTCATAGCGAACTGGACCTCCCCATAACTCGGGGCACGGCTCGGCCTAGGTCGGCCCCGCTGAGGGCTTTCTTAACGTGCCACTGCCCGCCAGGCCTAGTGACCCTCGACCCCTCAGGCACGCTGTGCTAGATCTATATTCAGTTAAGCTACGCCCACGAGAGCGTGAGGACGAAAGCGTGGATTTAGGTCTATGGGGGAAGTGAGGGGCAGAGGGCAGGGCGCGGGAGAGCGCGACAGCGCGAGAGTGTGGAGTCAGACGCCTTTTTCCTCCCAGCTCCCTGCCCTACACTGAATATATAGCTTAGGACCTGCGGCTGCGGCCGCACCACCACTTCCTCGACTATGTTCCGTCCGGGGGAAAGAGGCGGGGGGGGGGGCTTTGGTTGCCCATATACATGGGTTACTTTTT